CTGACAATGGACTGATGTGACGCCAGTGAGTCTCCTTCATCGCCTGTGCTTGTGGTTGCTAGGCAACGGCCATTGTCTGCTAGCTTGCGCTTAGCAACCCGAAACTATTTCACTTTGAGAGTTGCATGCAATGTTGTGAGACCTTGATCACATATTGGCATTGTAATTGTTTGCATATTGATCAGAATTGCTTCAAACCCGCAACGAACGTAAACGTCAAGGGATGGGAGAAGCGCAGAAATAGGCTTGACACTCCTCACAACAACCTTTAATGCTGTTGCTGTATACTTTAACTAAAAGTTACGGACTTCCATGCACTGTGTGTTTCATCTTTTACAGTAGTTATTGGCTTCAAAATATATTGTACAGACAATACATCCGAAGCTCACCATTTTCTTTCGTCTTTGGTGCTTGCTCATATATCATCATTAAATCATTTTACATCACAACACATACATACAAAGCATTGCGGGTGAGCTCTCAATCCACTATCAAAGAGCACATGTGGCTGTGTTATCCCCTCCAGTCACTGGTTTTGATGTGTAACTGCAGCCCGATCTCGGTCATATACAGCGTCGCACCATCCGCAGTATGGCCGATCGATCCAGTCTCCGCGGTCTCGGTTCCAAGACCAATTACATAACGTGTCCCCGCCCTCGGTCATCAATGCCCGGTGCATGTCATCTGTGAAACATACGACACTGGAATGGTTCGTGGAAATATGGCTGTGCGAAGATACAATAGAATAAAAACAAAAGAGGATGCAAAAGAGAAAAGGACTGAGACAGATATGCTAAGATATAGCAACGGAACAATTAAATAAGCACAATTTCGTATTTATCGCTGAAAACAACGCACATCAAATGGACGGACAATTTTGATAGATTTATTGAAAGTTACGCGCTGAATCGCAATATCTCGTGCAATAACTGACACTTATAAACAAGCAGATAAAATTAGCGGCGTCCAAATGCCGGCTCTGCGTAATAACACCGACACAGTGCGTTATTCTCTCCGGTATACTTATACCCTCCTCGAATCGGAGTACGGTCAAATATGCGCTCCAGATCATCGTCAAGACCGCCTCCAGCGGGAAGTTCTCTTGCACTGAGACCGTCACTCCTGAAGACGGCGTCGACGATTGACGAGATGTCAGCACTCTGAAGAGAGCCCACGTTGATGTTGTCGGTAATAGCGATGTCATCGTAAGGAGGATGGCTGTTGAGGAGAGCAGGTTGGACGTAATCATGGCCAGCAGCATAGACAGGCTGTTCAGCTACAGCCACAGGGTGGTGCGCCACGCCCTCGTAGGTTACCCTGGCGTTGTAGCCCGAGTTGCCGTCCACCCAGTAGGTGACGATCTGCCTCCGGCCGTCGGGAAGCAGCGTCGAGTACGAGCCCTCGGTGCGGTCACCGAAGCGTGTTTCCTCTTTGGTGTTTTGCACTCCCGAGGCAGGGTCATCAATGCCGTAGCCATAGCTGTAGTCGGGTATAGAGTGGATCTCTGGCGGTGGGGCGATGGGAACAGCAACAACAGGAGGAGGAATTTCGACAATGGGAGGATAGTAGGGAAGGTCCACAGGAGTGTCCTGTAGAGGGAGAGGCTCCGGGTGTGGAAGAGGCTCCGGAACCGGAGGCAGCTGCACCAGCGGCTGCGCTGCGGGCAGTGGCTCAGGCTCTGGCTCTGGTTCCGGCAGAGGTAGAGAAGGCTCGGGTTCAGGCTCCGGTATGGGTTCCAGCGGAGGAAGCGCCTCAGGGACGATATCTGGAAGCTGGGGACCAATGAACGGCCGGTTACCGTCGTCGTCGCTTCCGAAGGTACGGGCCAAACCTGCGTAACGCTCAACTCCTACTTGAAGTCCATCATCGTCGTCGTCGTCGTATACACCACCACTACCACCACCATCAACTTTGATGGCTGTCCCCAGTGCCACTTTATCTGCGGGCACGGTGACATAGCTGTACTGAGACGCCTGGACTCCTTCAGACTCCTTCAGATTCTCAGTTGTGTTTGACACCTCACTACCGGCTTCTACAATCGTCGTGCCATTTTTGGATCCAGTTTTGTTAGAGCTAGCTCCTTGACGCTCCGTAGCGTTGACTTCAGGGGAAATGACAGCGGGTTGTGATGTGGAATAAGCCTCAGTCTGTGAGATTTCAGGTGACGATGTGTTGCTGTTGTGCAATGTGTCAACCTGGACAACGCCAGGGAATGATGCGACGTTGCCAGGAGAGGCCCCAGTCTTAGTGACGGTGTGGAACAATGTGTCGCTGCCGGACAATTGCCCAGTCTGGGTGATTTCGGGGAATAATGTGGCACTGCTGGGTGATGGCCCAGTGTAGGCTGTGGTGACCAGCACCAGGTTTGCAGGAAGCACCAGCACCAACAACGTGATGAGTGCCAGCACCTGCGGGAAGAAGTCACCGAGTCAGATAACCGCGTAGGTATTAATTTGTTTAGAAAGAGGAATGAAATATAAAAATGAAACCTCAAATGAACCTCAACTGAAATATAAAAAGAAATGCTTGGTTGTGGCCTTCCCTTCCATTCCACATGTGCTCTTTACCAATGCTCAGATAATGCCAAAAAAGCTACCATCAATGTATGAAAGTGTTTTGTTAGCTTTAGTTCCTTTCATTTAAATTTATCAAAATTAGAAAAATAGTGAAGAGTTATTATTTTGAAAACATCAATTGTGTCCGAAAATACCAAAATTACCCAAAATAGCCTAAACATTAGCAGAAGCATCTATCAAGTGCCTGGCAAAACGTTTTCATTACAAATACCTACGATAACGAATAAGGAAGACTACGCCAGCGACGTTCAAGATGAATGCGGAAAGGAGAACGTCGTTGGAGGCAAGCGTCATGCAAATGTCACGACTGCTCACTGACGTGGCATTTATGTCTGCATGCTCGTGACTAGGCCATTTGCTTTAGGTTAATGACAACAATCCTATTGTATTCTTTTTTCTGCATTGCACACTCATTACTGCAATGCTGCATGCATGGGCAAAGTTGAACAATAGCCACTACAAAGTGAGCAATACGTTTGTAGTATTGGCCACTTTTGTTGCGCATCTTTTAAAGATACTTGCGCTTTATTTATCCACTGGATACAGAAGTATTTAGTTATTCAAAAGGCGCCAAACGCCTTTTAAAACGCCACCGTTTTTTATCATCTGTAAGAACAAATGGGTGTAGGTGTACAATTATACACCCACTGTGCAGTTTTATTGGTAAGCTTTTTTTTTAGCAAAAAGCAAAGCCATTGTGTTCATGTCAATGGCCATTGTGTTCAGAATCACGACTACTTCTAGTGCAATGACCGCTGCAAATTCGTGCACAGTCGGTGACTAGCAAAACTGCAGCAAAGTTAACCTTCACCTTCAGCCACTGTAACTGTCCCTTCTCTTTCGTTCATTATTGGCCGACAATTTGGCTGCCTAGTATCATTGGATCACTGCACTCGTAAACAAACAACCGAGCACATTGAATCCACTGGCCCACTGGACCCACTGGGCATCGACTATTGTGATTTTTTTTACCATTGTGATCTTGATCAATGCCTACATGTGGCTTAACTAGCTGATTATATCAATAGAAAAACACAATTCTAGCGAATAAGTGTTTGTCTATTTCAAACAACCTGCGGTTACAACTAAAGACCTTGGGAAAAGTAAGGATATGATGGCAGTTTATTGCTAGTCCACTTAAGGTTTTTGCTTCACTGGTTTTATACTGACAACATTAATGCTCTAAACCATTGCTCGCGACGACTCTATACTTTGACCTACCTTCATCATCGCCTCTCTCCGCTCTCCCCACTCTGCCTCTCCCCTCTCCACCCGGGCCGATCTTCAACTGCCATCATAGATCGCAGGTCACCAGGTAATATAGACTCACGGTGCCCGCATTTGGTCATCGCGTGCGCTTCTGTCCACACGTGCATAGTTGTGACATTCCGTACAGCTGTATACGCCATGCGGCACAGGCTTGCAAGTTGCACTGCAGGGCACGGGTTGGTTATGCTTTAGAGGGGGAGGGTCACTGATACCAGGTGCAGGCACAGTAGCATAGTGTGTGTGGGGAGGGGGAGGGTGCTGGTGGGAGGGGGTAATGCTCCGCAACAATGGCGTATGTGTGGAGCTATGCAATGCAGTTTGAGCAGCAGCAGTCGGAAAAAGGCGTTGCAATATTTTTTGAGATGATGTCGTCCGACTTTAGGACTGTTCTCCATGCTACTGAAATAACATGCATAATTTGCAACGGTCACAGGTCAGTGACCTGTCAGGCGGTAGCCCTACCAGCGACGGCATCGAATCCAGTTATTGACCTTTCTAATTTCAGATAATTGAAAAATGATGCAATTTTAGAAACAAGCAAGCTAATGGCAAGCGAATGGATGCTAGTCAGCCGTTTCACTAATTAATGGCCCACTTGTTAGTCATTTGTGGTATGGGCTCAATTAACGACGGAAACATTTGAGCATGTTCTGGGAAAAGGCACCATCGAACCCGACGCCACGAAATGGTAGCACGTTTTGTCCTATCAAAAGACAAGCAGTCGCATACTATTTATAGTCTCACATGACTACTCTCAATTATAGGCGGCTCTGTGTACTTGGTACGAGGGGTGTAATAGTTATTAAGACCTGAGCGGCTCATCTGCTGATAATTGACTTGATGAAAACTGGCAATTAATTAATCGCTGTTCAAAAATTACGTACGTACATGGAGAAATGAATATGATTGTATTTGAATTAATCAAGATGAGGAAATTTTTAATTTATTTTCTTTCACAACTGAAACATACCTTTTGAATAGATAGCTCACATTTCTAGCCCTCGTCGACATTCGTCAGTCCTAGTAACTGCGCAGCTCTCCACCAACAATACCTTTCACATAATGGTCAGGACATGAAGGACAGAGTCCGGTGCTCATACCTTGAACACCATTGACAGGACAGCTGCAGGTGGTCCACTCTGCAGCGGACCAGAACTAAGGGCACGATTCCACAGTCAGCTAAACAAGGACTACGTATAAAACCGCCCACGGGACATAATGTTTGAGCATTTGGTGACTGCCGCACTCTGACATCAACATGCGGGTAAGTTTTCCTATGGAATGTGCGTTGAGTTTTTCCTGAACGCGTTTAGCTACCGTTTGTGTCTGCGAATGGGGAAGGTTGTCGGACGTTTTTACGTGGATGGTTGTGCAGAGGGCAGAAGCCAATGTTCATAGTCTGAAGCAGTTTTACTGGATCAATATGCTGCTCAATCGTCATATAATATTTGGCATTTGATGCACGTCGCATATTATTCTCTTATTGGCATACCGCTAAGGTTGTGATAAGGAGTGTTCTTCCGCTAGTCTGTGTACCTTCCATCTACATCCCAGCATATTTGTGACTGTCTCTCCTTCTCCCTCTCTCTCTCTCCTTCTAAATATTGCTCACTCTTTTCATTCTTTCCATTTCTTACTTCATAGTTCGTTCTTTTTCTGTGCTCTCCCCTATCTTCTTTACATCTTCCTAATATTTTCTAGCGTTATCTATATCTCTCTTTTACTTACGCCTCCCGAACCTCCCTCTACCTCCGACAGCGCTCGCTGGCTGCTCCGGTGGTTCTGCTCTTCCTCTTCTGCGGACCAGCACTGGCCGACCACCCTCCCCACAAGAGGCCTCCGAAGCCTCACACCGGCTACAAGGGTTCCCATTCAGTCAAACCCAAATACAGCTACGCTTACGGCATCGACGACAAGCACGCCGGCATCAAGCTGAACGTCAAAGAGAGGCGCGACGGAAAGTTCACAGAAGGAGAGTATGTCACCAAACTTCCCGACGGAAGGAACCAGAAAGTTTCCTATCACGTGAACGGAAAGTCAGGTTTCGTTGCGGATGTGAAGTATGATGGAGTGGCGCGGCATCCGGTTCCGATTAAGAAGCCGGTGAAGCCGGGCAAGTACGTGCCCCCTAAGGTGGTAAAGCCGCCGGTTATAACCTATAGGCCCCCGGTGCCGCTGGCAAAGCCGAGGCCGCTGCCTTATCATCCTGTGAACACGCGGTATAGATATGGTGATGATGATGACGATGGATATGTGTCATATAACAATGGGTTCTCAAAGGAAGGATTGTCGGGATTTGGGCCCCAAGATATCTATCGTGGAGAGCCGTATGGTAAAGGGCTCGACATTTCACCTTATGAAAGGAGCACCAACCTTTTTCAGCAGCAGTTCTACCAGTAACGAGAGAATAAAGTATTTGCGGTGCAGCTGCTCACATGTGAGAGGCTTTCTATAAGAGAACGGTTTTGCTAAGTGGTTTGCAGATGTGTGTCGTCTGTCGACTTTGTGCTTTCCGTCGCTTTGTCTCGTCTCTGTCGATGGTGCTTTCTGGCGTTTGTGCTCATTTGTTTGCACTGTGTGGCATTGTTTGCTGTCTTGATAATAATACATGTCACGTCTACCACAACACGGGTATCAGGTATGCCTAAAATCCAACGGGAATACTAGTCTGCTGTTCGCTGATCCTTTTCTGTACTCCACTCCTCTTCCCATTACTTCTCTTCATCCCGGTACACTCCACAGCAGACTGCATTCAACATCATGCAAACAGGCGTATTTGTGTCTCATTCAGCTACCGTTTTTCCCCTAAACCTCTGCACACGCTCGGTACCTTACGACCCGGGACCGCCGACATTCAGTGCCCACTCCCGGGGCTGTTCGTGCTGCAGATATGAAGCATTTGCTCATTTTCCTGCTACCAATCGCTGTGACGCTGCGTGGGAATGACTGGGCACGGATATCGTGTGCGGTGCTGAGTGGCTTTGGGCTGAATACAGCGATACAACTGAAAGAATGTCTTACTGATCCGGAAAACGGATAGGTCTTGCTGTAGATGATGGTCTTTTTGGGAGCGTTGGCACCCGGGCCTGATGTAGTGTGGCGATGCAGCTTTGTTGCAAGCTATCATTCTAGACATTTCTTGTAGCAATGGAAGAACACCTTTTGTCGTGCACTATATTTGAAAAGTTACATGTTTACTTGAGATATTGTCGTGGGGAAACAAATCACCCTTTGCATTTCAAGCAGGAATTTTTTCCTCGAGATTGGTTATCTGGTGGGCAATGCCGCGTCCAATCTGACCAGCCGACAATGCGGTGCTTACTGAGCTGAAGATACTGCACCAGCAAACAAACGAGGTGGACTAAGTTTTACAGCGAGTCTTATTCGCTTCGGTCCCGATATCGGCCTGCATTAGCTGTGCATATACTCCGCCACGCGATTGCCAGTTGTGCTTCGTCCGCCGTGACGGTGAGAGTGCCACCATCAGACCGCTCGACGCTTTGGTGTGACCGATGACGGTTCAAGGCAACGAGTCGGCGATTTGGAGCCACAGAACCACGTTGTTCTCGCCATGGCTGTCCACCAGGGCAGTGCCCAAGGCAGAAGTGGAGTGCACTGTCGAGGATCGAATGTAGCAGAAAAGGTGGCAATGTTCAACCAGCTTCACGAAGGGTCAAGACAGCAGGTCAGTTGGAAGCAAAAAGTGGAGGAAAAGACGCAAAATGGAAAACAGCCCAGTGAAGGATCATCAGTTGAAGTTTCCAGATATGTTCGAATGTACAACAGACAGATGTCAATCACAGATCACGAAAATGATGAGATCAAGGAAGCTGCAAGTCGAGGCAAGAGACTGCCAATGACTTTCCTGGCCCTGGGCGTTCTGGTAAGAAAATTTGGGTTTCTGGCTGCCATGGCACTGAGCTTTTTCGTGGAAAGCAATCAGCCGTTCAATGCCTGCCAACTTTTCATTACTACCGCTTGGAACAACACAAGGCGGGCCTTGTTCTGGCTATCAGCTGAACCATTGTGGCGTTGCTTGCAAGCCATTCATGTGGTCAAGCCTGGCGAATGCACCAAATGTTCTCCGCTAGGTCGTCTATCAGTTGTGAGCCATAACCAGTCCGGTAGCAGCATCGAAGGCCACGACGATCTCGACGCTTATGAGGAACGACCATGTGCATCGGACGTGGACGTCATGCTAGAGCTCGGCCCGTGTCGCTGGCTCAGAGCTGATGACCAGGACGGGCCGCCGATCTCTGCGAATCCTGCACCTCCAGATTGTGGTGGAGACTCGTCGCCACTGTTAGTGGCTACGCCAACCTCAAAACCAGGCTTTGTTCTACTGTACGTTGAACCTACGTCTGAGTGCAAGCACAGCGACTGGCGTGTCTTCTCGGCTGGAGCACTCCGCTCTTTGGTGCTGGACTGGTGCAGGATTCGATACAATACAGATTTCATCATCGAGCCATCAGGACCAGCCGTCAACGTCAGGAAAACGGGGATCGACACCAACGGTGGCACTGACTGGGTGCCTTGTTTTCACCTGCCCGTGTGGCCATCAGAAGAGTTCCGCACCCGTCCACGTGTGACTGACTTCCCACCGGCAGAGGCGCGGGAGGACATCTGCCGCTTTGGCGTACACCTAGTGCCCACCGGCCACCCGGGGAGCCCCACTGAACACATCGAGCTGCGTCTGTCGTTCTCACGTGCCGAGGTGGTGGCAGTCTGGCACCTGTTTCCAACCGTCAGGATCGCCATTCAAGGTCTAAAATTCGTCCGCAACGAGATGAAAAAGCGCCGAAAGAAGACGGCAGTGAAAGAAACTAAAACACACCTCAAGTCCTACCACATCAAAACCACGGCTCTCTGGCTGTGCCAGGACGTCTCCAGGGAAAGTTGGACAAGCGCCACCACCGCGATGTACATGATCTTGGACAGGCTGGAGGAGGCAGTCAGAGAGGGAGCACTGCACTGCTTCTTCTGGACGGAGATCAATCTCTTTTCAGAGTTCTCCAAGGAAGACCTGGGTGCTATGAAGCGCCAGGTCCAGAAGACTCGAAACATTCTGCTGGAGGGGCTGATGGGATGGTTCGACAAGTGTTTCGATCTCCAGTCGTGGGCGGATCGTGACATGTCGTCAATTGAAGGCATTTGCCAGCAAAGTCCTGAAGATAGGGTATCCCAACCAACCAGCCAGAGCCAGCCGGGAAGGCCCACACAACCCTCCGTAGAGACTTACTCGGACCCAGCGACCCGCAGCAGTAAGATGTTCTCTACAGACAGTAGACGAACGTCTTCAGACAAAGAGCTCCCAATCACGGGTAGGCAGCTTACCTCAGACAAAAGGCAGCCAAATTCCGAAAACCAACTGGCGATCCAAAGCAAAGCCCAGACGACTTCAGTCAATCAGCAGTTGTCATCAGCCAGCCAGCAGACGTCTTCAGGCAAGCAACAGGCGCTTCAGGGCGACGAGCAGCCATCTGCGCTTAAAGAGCGACTGAGCCCATACAGCCAAAACTCGTCCTCGGAGAGCACACAGCCGTCCTCATCCGCCTCAAGTCGTGATTCCCCTTTAAACGAGCAGCATCGAGTTGCCTCTGTTCGTCGCCTGCAACTCTTTGCAGCCCGGCACATGGTTATATATTCAGTCATGGAAGGCATCAGACATCGACACATGGGTTCTTCCGGTGTGGACAATGATGCGGATATTTCGGACCATATACGGGAAGAGCTGATGAGATTTCGTGTCGGGCAACCATACGCGATGGGCCGCATGCTTGTTCAAGCCATGCTGGCGGCCCCTGAAGATCTGGTGGGCAGTGCGCGGCTGGTAGCCCACGGTGGAGACATGTACACCTGGGACGTGGCGCCGCTGCTGGGACTACTCAACGACTCAGACATGCAGGTGCTGCTGGGGGAGCCCGAGGCAGTGGCGAGCTGGTGGCGACAACAGCTGCGGCTGCCGCGAGCGGAGCGACCGCAGGGCATGACCGCTGACCTGGACACGCCACAAGGCAGGAAGGAGTTGCTGCTCAATTCGAACCTGCTGCTGCGAGCCTTGGAAGAAACGGGCGTCCTGTCCTCGACGAGTCACCAGTTCCCTAAACAGGAACCACTTGAACATCGCAAAAGATCCTCGCTGCCTTTCTCATCTAGCCAGCCGCCACTTTCTGAGCCTTCTCAAACTCTTCAGACCTCAGCTGAACCCATTAGAAAGACGCCTTGCAGCACCGGCGAAACACGGCACATGAAAGAACCCATCTGGAAGACGGAACTCGAGAAGTGGGACAACTTTGCGAGAGCAAGCTCGTGGCATGTCCGTTCCTATGAACGAATTCGTCAGGAACTCGACGATGAGCACCGTTCAAACCTGGAGAGCCGTCTTGGACGATCCGCGATCATCCGTGGATCGCAAAACGCCACTGCTGCCGCCAGACTGTGGAGGCGGGGCATCGAACGGATGCTGTCGGGTTCTGAGCTGCGTACCAAGTACGAAGCCATCACTGGCGCCCTGCCGGACAGGTGGCAACTCAGACAGTACGTCTTTGATGACTGCTGAGGTCAGAGCTTGGGCTTGCTGGGCGCTGAAAATCACAGACGTTCGTTCGAGTTTTGTTGTCGCTGCTGACCTACCGAGTGCTCAAGGCTGTGTAGTGTTTGCTTATCAGACTCGTGTTTTGATGTCACGGTAACCGTGGAGAAGAAAGTCTTGTTGTAAGATTATAAATTTGAATGTAACTACTTCATTGAAGTAAATCATTGGATTGGAAGAGTTTTCGCGTTATACGTTTATGCATTGTGTATTTTGCAATTACACAACCTGTCTCAGTGTTTTGAATCAGCTAGATGTTGAGCTAGTAAATGCGTTGCGTTGCTTGCGTTGTCACGAAAGCATTCGCACATCAGTTTCACTGCATCAAAATGTTTTGTAATCGAGGGTTGTAAGTGTGCACTGTGTCGCTATGATTCGCTATTTATCGTCGTCGTTTTGCTATGTGTTTCACTTGAGGTTTTTTTAGGGACAGCAGCTGACTTTGCCGCTGGTCTCGTAAAAATTGCATAATGGTGCTCGGCTCATTTTCATCTCCACTACACATGCCATTCAAATTTCTTGAGTCAGCATCATCCAGTCAATAGTCATTGGCACATTCGACGCCAGTTTTACATTGCACATCGCGCAACTCATGAATCATGAATCAAACACAGTGGAAGCGAGTGTTATTTTTGCTATCGTTTGCAATAAATGCAGCTGTGATCCTTGGCTGTTTATGTTTATTTATGTCATTGGGGTCGTAGTTATACTAGCCAAGAGAATACAAACCATTGATTTCTGAGGAAACAACTATGAAAAAACTGGCAATGATTTGTTTTCCAGCAAAGGCATCAAGGGTGGAAAGAGAGAACTACTTTTTGCGGCTGACAGGAACTTAAGCATTGAGTGACGCATTCCTCCAGTGAAATGTTTAAGCAAAGTGGTTGTTGATAATTCATAGTAGTTTTTGCAACACAAGTCCTGAAAAACGCTCAGGTTCATGATAAACATTTGTATATTAATCATAATATAACACCTGTTGGCAGACATTGTACTATCGCTCTGTAAAGCACAAAACACGGACATCCTTAGGTGAAGGTAGCATGGTTGACAGCCAAGCCTTTTGAAGCTTTCCCATACCCATATCAGTCGACAAGAACAGCATACAGTGCGTCGATGCCCTCTTTGACAGCACTTTGTCCAACGGACGGCAGTGTCCTTGACTTGGCCGTGACGCGATTCTTTAGAATGTTTGCACCGGCGAGCACCGAGCCTGTGGATTATATGTGGGACGTGGTTTGACGTCAGCAGAGATAAACAAAGGTTAAACACGACAGGAACAAAAAATAGATCGAGAAAGGCATTTAGTTTGCCAGCTTGGACAAAGCTAGTGAAAAGTCAGCTCATGACAGGCCTAAGGAATCATTTCTAGCATTGCTTATTTTTGGTGCGAACTTAATTTATTAGGCTTTGTAATTTGTAGCTTAGCTTAAATTGAAATTGATGCTTAACGTTGACGTTGAGCTGGTTTAAATATGCAAACTAATGCTTTATGTTGCCTTGAAACGTATACTTTTGCTCTTTTACAAAATTAGCTAGAATGGTTGAAAAGAGTTTTGACTTTGACTTCATCGCTTTTTCCCTTCGCTAGTTTACTCACCCTGGTTAATTTGTTTGGACTCCTGACCGGACAAGACACAGAAATCAGACACGTTGGCGACATGCTGCAGAAATCGGACAAGCTCGTGAAGCAGCTCCTCCTTCTCATCTCCCCCAGCTTGTGTGTCCTCGAAGAGCTCGAGAATCTTGTCCACGCTGCCGTCAATCTGGCTCATTGCTTGAGAAGAGATGCGTGCTCCAGGCAAAGTCTGCACGAAGTCGAGAACCTGCAATAAAACATCCACGAAACATCAGCAACGTTATGTTGTGAAGTGGGCGTCTTTTTGGTTTTGCAGGAAGTACAAGGGACACAAAAAGTGAATGTTATGGAAGCTGATTAAACAAAGTTCATTAGAGAAGATAAAGAGTGGGATAACCACAGCGAAAGCTGTAGCAAGACTACCAATACTGTGTTAATACGGTATGCAGCATTTGAACAGTTTACGGACAGTAGTACCTACGTCACTGCACACAGTGCGAAAGTGTCAACAAGCGAAAACGGCTTAGTAACAACTCTGTAAATGCACATTTATCACGCAAAACTCACCCTCTTTTTGATGACTGGTCGAGACATGGCAGCGTTCTGTGAGAAGAGTCCTGCCCCAGTAAAAAACCACCTGCACTAGCTCAAGCGCCAAAGGACACACTGATATGTCAGAGGTGGCGAGGTGATAGCCTTTCCGCTTGGGGTGGGCATGAGGGGAGGGGCGGCGAGCGGTGCGGCTGGGCATATCAATGCAAGGGCGATAAGACAGCATTTACTACCGGGATCAGCGTAACAGTTGGTAGGTAAATAGAAAAGGATGTCAGGATAAAACAGTCTGGCTTATCGTCGACTATCATATGCAGCTAAGTAAGTCTCGTGCCATTTTACAAACGCAAACAACTGTCGTATACAGTGTTTGCCCACGCTTTGCCACGTTATCTTTTACCTGTGCAAGTGTGCATATGGGTCTATAGTCTTCGTGTAAGTAGTGATAGTTTGAGACCCCTCGGACAAACTGATAAGGCTACCGAGTACCGAGTACCGATGTTTTGGGAAACTACCGGTTCAACTGGCCAGAAGAATGCGCGGAGTGAGTAAATTAATACATTCAAACTGCAGCGCAGAAGAAAATGATATATACGTAATTAATGTTAAATACAATCAGTAAGCTACAATAAGCTATAAGTTCAATACTTTTATTGCTGACACTACAGTAAACAGCAGCCCATGGTCTAAGAACTTTGCCTCACTGACAGTTAAATACTTACATTTTTTTTAATGTCGCAGACTGACGCACATTTGTCTCATCCAACCGTGAACAGACTAGCAAGCCACCTGGAGATCTTTCACGAGATAGCCCTAATGCTGTCGTTGTCATTTTCCCGGATTTCATCTACAATTTGCTTCCACTACCGCACGAGATGTCTGTCAAAAGAATTCTTGTCTCACATTCCACCTCATAAAAACGCGATCAGGATCTCTCGCTCTCTTCCACACAGATCAACGACCATTGAGGTGGAATTTGCAGCATAGTCACTACCTTACACTCAAGTGGACCCGATGTTTCAGCTCTCAACTCGGAAGCTGCAGAAACTTCCCCATAGTGGCACGCAGCAAATGGTCTCAGTCAAGATTACTTGTCTCAGTATGCGTCTGAATTGGGCGCGGCTGGGCGGAATGCGACGCAGGGTGACGCATTTTCCTCCGGCAGAGCTGATCAGTGTCAGGTGGTATTTCAGTGGCAGGGTGGGTGTATAAAGGGAGCGCGAGATGAGAGCAGCCGCACTTCTGGTCACCGGTCCAGAGCTGAGGTTGGGCTTCAGAGGTCTCCCGCTTCGTCAGAATTAGGTCTCCCTCTTCGTCAGAATAATGAAGGTGAGCGTTTGATGTGGTCTGCGAGTGCAGGGGGTATTTCTTAGGGGCGTTTTGGATAGATGAATTCAAAACTGGTTGGTTTCTTTAGATGATTTTTATTAACGCTGTTGACGTTCTGACTCTGTTAGAGCCCTTTGTGTTTTGGCACTAATTGTCAACTTGTGCAATGTACGCTCTCTGCCGCTCTCTGACACTCTATGGAAGTCTCTGTCGCTCACTGACATTCTATGTATAAAAGTCTCTGTCGCTCACTCACGCTCTATGAAAGTCTCTGTCGCTCTCTGACATTCTATAAAAGTCTCTGTCGCTCACTGTCGCTCTCTGCTGCTGCTCCAGAACATTCTCCTTCTCGCTCTGGTGGCTGCTGTGGCCGCGGACAGCAGCTCCTCTTCAACCAGCGCCAGACAGGTAGCCGGGCCCTCTCTCTCGCGCTCTGGCTACGACTCCGGTGCCGACTACAACTCCTACTCGGGGGTCGACATTGGCGCCCAGAACCGCCAGGGCTCCTACGGCCCGAGCACGTCCATCAACTCCTACGGCATCAACAGCGGTCTCTACGGCAGCAGCGGCTTCATCGACCAAGGATATGGAGCTCCCATCGGTCGGCGGAGCGGTCTGGCATTCGGCGGCGTGGGCAACATCGGCTTCAACGGCCTGAACCAGTACGGATTCAACGGCCTGAACCAGTACGGATTCAACGGCTTCAACCAGTACGGGCTCAACGGTCTGAATCAGTACGGGCTCAACGGCTTGAACCAGTACGGATTCAACGGCCTGGGTAACCTCGGCTTCAGCGGCCTGGGTAACTTCGGCTTCAACCGTCCCATCGGCGGCCTCGGCTATGGAGGTGGCTTCAACGGCCTGGGCAGTTTCGGCATCGGCACTCTCGGCTTCCGCGGCCCCTTCCTCGGTGGTCGCTACGGCCGCGGCTTTGGCCGCCTTGGGCATGGCCTGTTCAGGCGTCGTCCCTTCCACGGCTATGGATACAGCGGTATTTATTAAAACTTGCTAGAGAGCATAGCCAAAATAGGTTGTCCAGATGGTGACACTTGCATGTGCGCCGTGCGCAATAAGATTTCCCTGTCAAGCTTATGTGTGACAAAGCTTTAATGTCCCTCTTTCCGCTAGCGGTATACGTGTGTGCGTGCGTGTGTTGATAAATTTCGTCCGCTGTTTTTGTTTATCGTCATGTGTGATTGTTTGCGTGAAAGTGTATTTATTTGTTAGTTGTTGTTAAAATGCAATAAAAACGCAAAATCAGTCGGCTATTTTTCTGCAAGGCTCAAACGCAACACATCCAACTATTGGCTCTCAATTACTGCAGCGGACTGTCGTACTTTTTTGTCATCACATGCCTATCAGTGAGCGAGCAAGCTATTTTGATTAATATTTGCTTGTGGCTGAATTCATTATCAATGTTTGCTGATGAGGAAGTCTAAAACTGGTGCATCACATCCAAACGACCATCTTAACCACACTAAGAGTTTACAATCGTTATTCATATTGAAAGAGTATCATGTATAAAAATATCAATGCGTAGGTAGTGAAGCATGTTCACCTTGATGTGACGGACATGCTTCATTAAATTTCTTTGCTGGACATTTTAAGGCGTTTCTGGTGTAACATCTGCACACCGCCGCATACTGCACAATTAACACTTCGTACTGGAGAAGCAGGGTTCGACAAAGAACGAAGCGAATACAAATAGCGAAGTTATACCCTGGTTATGTCTACGGGCAAGCGTTTATTGTTTATCACGAATCGTCCTTATAAGTCTGCCAAAGCAGCTTGAAAGAAACGCCTTGTAAATGTTCATTTCGTCTGAGTCTGAATCATAGCCTTCCTCATTCGTTTTTAGATAGGCATGCCTAACTCTGTGGTTACTTCGGCCATCCAATAGCCGTTTTAAAGACAGCCATCTGGTATACATTGGACATTTGGTGCAGATTCCATAGGCAGCGGAACGGGGAGGGCACCGGGGCACCGTGCCCCCTTTGATTTTGACATTTTAGCATTAGCCCTATGGGCGTTGCATGGAAAGAATGGGACCAAAAGTCGGCAGTGCCTCAATTGGAGGTGTTCCGCCGCTACTGGCAGATTCGGTGCAGCTATGGTCAAATAAGGTTCATTGTATTTCTTGAATGGCGTCTGTTTGGGTTGCACAGATGTTTATAGACCTCTTTTTCAATTTATCAGAGATTGTTTTCGAATAAACCACTGAAATGAATTTCTGATATGAAGATATTTGTTGTGAAAGGGATTTGTTGCAGATTGTTATGCGCATAAGCATTAGCGGAGGGAGATTCCTTCGCGTTGGTGTATGTGTGCTGCCATACGCGTCTGTGGCCAGCTGAGCTGGCACTCACTTGATCTGTGTTGGTCGCGAGAGGAATACACCCGTGTGCGCAAGACGGACGACTCTTCGGATCCTTGAACCGTGAGGACCACTGCACAGATCATAACACAGATTTGGTAAAATTAGGTGCATTCGCCAGGTACCTCGTCGTGAAAACGGCTATTATTGACCTCCCATGAGTTTTGTTTTTGATCTGCCTACATACACGACATGAAAAAGTTGCCCTGTTGGACCTTGCTTAGTCAGCACCTATCCCCAGTTCGATGCATAGTTTTTCGTTGCACATGCACCGCTTACTTACTTCACATGCCTTTTGTTGTTTTATTGGGGCGAGCGCTTTTGGCCTAAAAAGATAATTGAAGAGCTACAGGATGACAAGGAAAGGACTGCGGACCATCGGCGGTACACTGCAGCGGCAGTGATGGAACGGTCGACCCTGCCGCTCCAACGGTCACCCCGGAGAGGGTGCAGTCCAGAGAGGACTGCCCCTCCCACTTGCTCTCTCTCTGGTAGAGCTGACCGCCAGCCCAGAGATGATAATGAGTGAGCAATGAGCCATGAGCATGCAGACAGGTTGATCCTGAGGATTGCAAGGACAAAGGAAATTCTTCTCGCATGGCACCTTTTCATTTAGCCATATCTTATCAAAGTTTTCTGCAGGTCAATAGATCCATACCAAATGGTCGATTCTTCCGATCATAAACATTTCGAGCGTATCAAAATTGAGCAGGAAAAACGCAATGATAACAAAAAAAAAAAAAAACGAAGAATGCAAACACGCAGAAAGTATAGTCGACTACAGAATGATGCTCCACTCCTCAGAAGCTGTCAGTTCACAGGAGCGCTAAGTTGTGCCGTTTATCACGCAATTAAGCGTGTCGATTGTGAGCATTGGGACAAAGCTATAATTTGTGAACTCAGCCCGTGTGATGCGGCACAGCCTACCACTCTAGGCAAACAATTGCATGTGAAAAGTGGAACATCATTCTGTAGTCGACTGTACAGGCAGAGCCTGTGATGGCTGCGATTTTAGGACTAAAGTACGTATCGCTAAAGTACGTAGGACAAAAGTACGTATGCAAATGTTCGTACGCAAATATACGTAGGCGATAAAGTTCGTATGCCCAAAGTACGTACGCAAATGTTCGTACGCAAAAGTTCGTATGCAAAAGTACGTAGTGCATAAAGTACGTATGTCAAAAGTACGTACGCAAATGTTCGTACGCAAAAGAACGTATGGAAAAGTACGTAGTGCATAAAGTACGTATGCCAAAAGTACGTACGCAAATGTTCGTACGCAAAAGTACGTATGCAAAAGTACGTAGTGTAAAATGTACGTATGACAAAAGTACGTATGCAAATGTTCGTACGCAAAAGTTCGTATGCAAAAGTACGTAGTGTATAAAGTACGTATGCCAAAAGTACGTACGCAAATGTTCGTACGCAAAAGTACGTATACAAAAGTACGTAGTGTATAAAGTACGTATACAAAAGTACGTAGTGTATAAAGTACGCATGCCAAAAGTACGTACGCAAATGTTCGTACGCAAAAGTTCGTATGCAAAAGTACGTAGTGTAAAAAGTACGTATGCCAAAAGTACGTACGGTTCGTATGCCAAAGTACGTAGTGTATAAAGTACGGAAGCTAGAAGTAGGGTATAGTAGTGTAAGTTGAGCCACTTTTTCTTTAGTGCTGCTCTGTTGCAATACTACAGGGAACTCATGATAAATTATATATTGCGACCCTGGTTCAGGAATAGCCATTTTTGTGGAATGAGCCTACGATGTCAAATAAATAAATAAATAAATAAATAAATAAATAAATAAATAAATTCATATACCAAATAATATAGCTTTGTCCATTTCGCCCATTTACTCATCGAGAAATTTTGCTATGCCTTGTAACAAATGCTCATTAAATAAAGAATAAGAAAGGTATTACACATTGATCAACTTAACCCAAGGGTGGGGTACCTACGTACTTAATACCCTACGTACATTTGCTATACGTACTTTTGTCCGTGACGTACTTTTGTCCACACGTAGGCTAGACCGGGGCAAGTCGCCCCGCCGAGGTAAAACACCTCACCGATGTTTCTCGGAACTGGCAGGGTTCTGGGGAAAGATCCTCTCTTCTGTTAACCCGGCCGGGCCCGGGGGGTAATTCCAACCACCGCAGCCCGGGGAGGGGCGTTTTTCGCCCCCTTTCTAACTCCGTAAATAAGGGAGCTACGCAAACGAAAGAGATACCAAAGGAAAGGTCCTTACGTGGCGATTCTAAAGCACCCAAAATTTTTGACCTCAGGTCAATTTTCAATGTCAGAGGTCAAGGTCAAAGGCAAAAACCGGCACATGTATAAGATCTCAAAGTGAGCGTTCTAGAGGACGGCAGGATGCATAAAACCGGCAAAATTGAGTGTCAAACGAAAGAAGAGAATTATCTGAGAATTCCGAAAATGTGTTCAACATCAAAGGTCAAGGCTAAGGTCATGCTCAAAATTGACCTCAAACTTTGCACTTTTTCGTACATCTTGCGTGTCAACTTCCAAGATGTTTTGAAATGTTTTGAGGCTTATCAGGTCCCTATTTGTGGTTCATCTTACGATACAAGGCTGCTCAAAGGTCAAGGTCACAGAAGAGAGTCCTTGCTAGAGGCTATTTCACTGATTCAAGTTAGTAATAATAAATAAGACAATTTTGCCATCCGGAGGCTCTAAATAAAGGCTTAGAGGAAAATAGATGCCAGATTCGTGATCAGCGGGTAGGAATCCATCATAAACGACTTTTGATGTGTCGAGGTCAACCAAAGGTCATTCGAGGTCACATGAGGTCAACATAAAACTTGTCCTTTTCCAAACAAAATATATATCATTCGACGCGGCTTGACAAGGCAAATGCGATGGTACCACTGCCGTAGCTCTAGGACCATTTTTGTCGAAGTTATTTGCGAAAAACTAAAACCACAGCTCGGGGTCGTTGACCTGACCTCTGACCTCAGGTCACTAAAACTATTTTTGTATTTTTCTCTAGGTCAAACGCTACACAACCGTGCTCGTAATTTGTCTTTATCTCTAAAACTCTATTTTTAGCAGCTATTTGAAGTTTGCGTCTGTGACACCGAAGTTTGCCGTGCAGGGGTCTAGAAAAATCGACTTTGTGATGTCATCAATGGGGCTAGGTCCAAATCTTTTTACTTCAGAAGATGTCAAATTGATGGAAGAAACGGTACTGAAAGTTTCGCTTTCCTATCCCTATAAACGTTCGGGAGCTATCGCAAATATTCGCCAGGGGGGGGGGGCGAAAAACGCCCCCCGGGCCCGCGAGGGTCAATCTAGTGTATGGGGCTTCTTGCCTCAGGCCGTGGGGCGTTTTGCCCTGGGGTTGGGGCAAAATGCCCCATTTGCAGTTGCTTCACAAAGCAGTTCCTAGCTGGGAGTCCGATCATAAGTGAATGAATTTGAGGGGTGGAATTTCAAGTAAAATGTCCAAAGAACACATTGAGCACAAATTTGGCCTTCCAGGTGGTGTGAGACAAAAAAAAAAGTAGGTACCTATGTAGCTGGCATGTGAGAACGTATGACGCGACGGATTTTAACGTGGTGTTTAGGTATAGTTTTAATGGACGCTGGTTCTCTGTATGAAATGTTTGACGGTTTTAATATGTTTTGTATATGATCTGTTTTAATGGACACTTGTCTTCTGGGTTTTATCCATCTAGTACCTAAGTCTGTGTCAATAAACTACTACTACTACTAATAGCAAAATAAATTATCTGGGGCGTCTTGCCCAAGGCAAGACGCCCCAGCCCCACTTTATACTCTACGTACATTTGCTACGTAGGCTTTTGTTACGTGCTACGTGACGTACTTTTTTGTCCATACGTACTTTATACCCTACGTACTTCTGCGATACGTACTTTTGTCCGTGACGTACTTTTGTCCATACGTACTTTTTACCCAACGTACATTAGCTATACGTACTTTTGTCCGTGACGTACTTTTGTCCATACGTACTTTATACCCTACGTACTTCTGCGATACGTACTTTTGTCCCTGACGTACTTTTGTCCATACGTACTTTATATAGTACGTACTTCTGCGATACGTACTTTTGTCCCTGACGTACTTTTGTCCATACGTACTTTATACTGTACGTACTTCTGCGATACGTACTTTTGTCCTTGACGTACTTTTGTCCATACGTACTTTATATTGTACGTACTTCTGCGATACGTACTTTTGTCCCTGACGTACTTTTGTCCATACGTACTTTATACTGTACGTACTTCTGCGATACGTACTTTAATCCTACGTACTTTTGCTTACGTACTTTTGTCCTACGTACTTTAGCGATACGTACTTTTGTCCGTAACCCGATGGCTGCCTATTGGCGATCAGCTCTGGTTTCGCTGCCTTCTCTAGCGGGGCTTATTGGAACTAATGATACCCAGATGGCGGCAGGAGTGAGTTGTGGCGAGTGTTCAGACGATATCGGTGAGGGTTTTTGACGTTATTGAACGCTGTGACAAGGCTACAGAGCTCCTAACCCGTAGCCACAAGAGCATTATAAATATTGTGGAAGCTGAAGGACAATAGTCGCGTTTATATAGCATTTTTGTATGAGGCTCTATAGAGCCTCATACAAAGAGCCTATAAAGTGAGCTATAGCTCACTTACCTTGCGATAATTTCGATGCAGTGATCTTTGCATATTTAAAGGGGATCATTTTGTTAATTGTAAAGCACCACTGGCATCTTTTAAAACATAACGGGCGGAGCTATAAGCTTGCAACAATACCTATGTACCTAAACGGGGCTATATGGGTGACAGGCTATGCCCGCAACATCAGTGAGAAGTGACTGCAGCAAATGGCACACCGTATACCCGGCGAAGAGCCAAGCTGCGCTGCGCCGAACGGGGGGGGGGGGGGGGTTGTTGCCTATATGGAACACCTATTCCTGGTGTAAAAATGAGATTTTTTTTTATTGATTTCAATAGCTCAACAATTGCCCTTATACTTAAGTTAATGTGTCATCACTTTACTGTGTTGAATTATAGGACGTCGTCATGATAAATACCTATTCCCTAACTTCATTTCATTCCCGAACAAGGTAAATGATCATCCAGTAATAACTAACAATTTCATTCAAAAGGACACACAAAACAAACTCCACAGCAGCCAGCGCTCCCGAGATGGTCGAAAAAGACAGAAAATATTTAAAGCTGCTATCCTCTGTGTAGATGATAACTATAACCTATCCATCAGCCTCCCTCTCTTTCTACCTCCCTTCTCACTTCTCTCTTCTCTCTCTCTTTCTCTCTCTCTCTCTCTCTCTCTCTCTCTCTCTCTCTCTCTCTCTCTCTCTCTCTCTCTCTCTCTCTCTCTCTCTCTCTCTCTCTCTCTCTCTCTCTCTCTCTCCCTCTCTCTCTCCCTCCCTCTCTCTCTCTCTCTCTCTCTCTCTCTCTCTCTCTCTCTCTCTCTCTCTCTCTCTCTCTCTCTCTCATTTCCTCCTTCAACTGCAGCCAATATCGTTACTCTTTCACACGCGTTTTGCAACTTCTTGACGTCCTTTCCTGGGTCTCAGCCGCCTAGCGTCCGGTGCACGTTTTTATTCTACTTTCCTCTCCCAGTTCCAAGGCACTTCCCTCAAAAGGCGTGGCTGCGAACAGTATGAAGGGTACCGCATATAAGACAGGACAACGAGGGTAGCGGCATCAGTCCTGAGCTCAAAGTGAAGAGATATGAAGGTAAGACATCTGCAACACATTCATCAGTGGCATGTGAATTATTAGACTTCAAGAGTTCTACAAGTGGCGTTAGGCCTTCAATAGTTACTCTCCCACTTCGTTCTTACCTACTTACAAGAAGTATTAAGAGTTTGATTTCATAACATCCATGCTAAAATTTAAAAAAAAAAAAACGAAACGTTATGAAACGCCACGGCTATGAACGGTGCATGTAAAGCGATTTTAACCGCAGGTTGTTTGAAAAGACAAACACTATTCGTTAGAAATGTGTTTTTCTATTGAAAAACAACCGGAGCGGTCCTTCTCCGGGCTATGTTTTGCATAATTATAGCGCGGTGCATGGGACCATTTCGAAAACAAAATATGACCGAAACAATTTTCCTTTTCAGCTGATCGTGTTGACTACCCTCGTGGCCGCGGCCTCGGCCTCTGGTAGCCTCGGTTACCATGGAAACGCCCTCGGCGGCGGCGCCCCGTTCCGCGGAGTCGCGGGCGCCGGTTTCCAGGGCGTCGCCGGGGGCGCCGGCTACGGCTCCCAGGACTACTACGCCAAGCCCAACTACAACTACGGCTACTCGGTGAAGGACCCGTACTCGGGTGTGGACATTGACGCCCAGGAGAACCGCTACGGCTACCAGACGCAGGGCTCCTACGGCACCACACTGCCCGACGGCCGCAGGCAGAACGTTAACTACGTCGTGGACGGCGACTCGGGCTTCGTGGCGGACGTGCAGTACTACGGCGTGGCGCAGCACCCGAGCACGCCCATCAACGCCGGCTACGGCAAGGCCGGTCTTAGGGCTGGAGCTCTTCGTGGCGGCGCTGGGCTCCGTGGGGCTACCCTGGGCGGCGCTGGCTACTCTGGATCTGCCCTGGGCGGCGCTGGCTACTCCGGTGCTGCCCTGGGCGGCGCTGGCTACTCTGGAGCTGCCCTGGGCCGTGGTCCTTTCAGTGGTGCTGGCTTCCGCAGGCCTGCTGCTCTCGGTGGTGCTGGTTACGGCGGAGCTGGTTACTCTGGTGCTGCGCTGGGCGGTGGCCTGTTCCGCGGTGCTCGTTTCGGTGGGTCTGGTCTGCGTAGTGGTTACGGAGGCTGCTCGGGCTACAGCTGCTAGGAAACCCGTATGACATGCCAACAGAGATAGCGTCTGTGTTAATTTGTTCCGCGTCTTTTCACTGTCACGTCCGTGAGGATCTGGTCATTGTGCGTGTCTTATTTGTAGACCATGTAAAGTGATTTTGTGACATCAAAAGCCAGATATGTCAATAGATAACTGATCGACTCGCCAACTCCTTTGTGAATAATCTTCTTTTGTAGCAGAAGCACCAGCAGTAAGACACGGAACAAATAGTGCATGGACGCGTTTCGATCATTAAATCTTCATCGGGATCGGTATAAGCACAAAGGAAGATTGCACTATTTGTCCGTGCACTATTTTTTCCTTATTTTGCCACTTGTCTCTAGCAAACAATCACTAGCATCGGGCGCAGGGGTGCAAAGACGCATTGAAATATCTGTAGAATGATATGTTGATATGTTGAGTGCATGAAAAAGTGTCGAACACGAAATATCGCACATATATTCTTTTTCATTTCTTTTGTCTATTATACTATGAGCCAAAGGCTATTACTTGCTTATCTTTGAAATATCTGTAGCATAGACTAGTTAAAGCGAAGCGAGTGAATTACCTGTCTGTCAAGTAACAGGACCTTTCAGTTATTGCCCGCCACAACACAACGGTGACAATGCGCGTCCAGAAAGGACAAACTGGCAGTGTTGACTTTTCACCGTTAGATTGACAGGAGCCATCGGCTTAGCAATAGTTGGGTTACATTGCATCATGATCAGAAAGGGTACAAAAGGCAACAAACTCAGGCCCTTCTGCAACAGTGGTTAGCATTGCTACACACACACTGTTGTCAGTTCGGTGCTTTGTGTTTAAATCACGATTTATGCTAAATAGCTGCCTTGTGTGTGCTTCATTAGCAAAGGGAGTGTTTTTACATAAAAACAAAGTTTTGGTAGCCGGTCGTTACGAGCCTGGAAGCGATGGCTTTAGCGGCAGGTCTCTTGGCAGTGCTGTTTGCCATCTCTGCGACGGCAAGTAAGATTATAATTAGGCACTCTAATGGGAAGCCAAGCACACGTTTTTCAGGGCTGTTTTAATAGGCTTTGCACTTGCGAAACGTCATAAAGTTAATTTTAGGGTATACAGCTTCACCTCTTCATTATTGTGGAATCCCAAAAACGTTTTTCTATTGAGACAAACAAAAATTGTCACTAACACCGAATTTTATTAGGCTGGCGTGTTACGTTGAAGACACGTCTGACGTCGGTTGTTTCTTAATTTATCGGCGGCGCTAAGTTGAAAGCTAATGAGAACCGAACTGTTCAACCCCTGTCTCTGTCATCTTCACAAAAACCGTCGTCTAATTGTCCCCCTGCATTCTCTATCCTCTCATCAGGCAAAGACTAATAATGTTTCTCTTCTCCAAACCCACAAGACGCATATAGCCACGAATGTCTTCAGTGGACTCCATGGATCAACGCCGACCAAAATACAACTGACGGTGGCGACTACGAGCTGATCGGCTTCAATTTGGACGTGGAGGGGAGCCGACCTGGCCGGGTGACTCGTGAGCTGGCGCGGAGGGGCATTGTCTGCAATAACCCCGTGCAGGTTTGTGCCGAGTGCAATATGCAATGGTGAAGATCCGAGCGTTTTGATTCAACTTGAATCAAGGAGACCCTGTTCAATGAAAGCTGAGGTTTGTCTTCTACTGGACCAACTTAGCCTGACGCTCAATTCCTGTATATCACACTTAATCATTGTGTCAGGTAAATAACAAACTACGTCCATGTGTGCTATACTCTTTATTGACCATGCAGCTGCTATTTCTACTCTTTTCTCTTTCAGGTGCAGTGTCGGGAGGCCTCCACCAAGCGTCACTGGTATCAAACCGGAGATGCTTCCAGATCACCTAAGTATGCCCGCTGCTCCCTCGCCGAAGGCATGAGGTGTCAGAACAAGTATCTATCTCGCGGCAAATGTCATGATTATGAGGTAAGAGTGAGGGTTGAGGGAAAAGTGAGAAGTAAGAACGCAGTGGAAGTGAGAGTTGAGAGTGATGTGGAGTGCAAAATATAAAGGCGATCGAAAATTTATTGAGCTCGCGGCCAAATGCGTTGGTAGGTGATGGGGAATGAGGAGCTATTCTTTCAGCGTAGGAAGGAAAAATCGATTACCGAGCGTGCTTTTATAATGCTGTACGAAGTTTTAAGCGAGGCATGGTATACTTTTTAAATAATTTAAAGTAGGGAATCGAATAAGCATATGGAGGAAAAGCTTTTTTTAAACTAATAGTCCGTTATCCGTGATCATGCAATTGCAGGAGTGCCCTCACCCTCAGTCCCAGCGACGCACAGAACCCTTACGTTAACGTCAAAATCAAAATCAAAAAATCAAAACTCCCTGCTAAGAAGAGGAAAAACATACATAAAAGAAGCCGAACTGACTGCGTATGATATTATTTAACTTGGTTAGTAGATACAGAGAGCCATAGTAGTTAATGCCAATTCCAGCATAAACTGTCCGCTAAGGGTTCAATCGTACATTGTTAGCGAGGAACACGCACACACTCACTTGGAAGGGGACATTAGTGGGGTAAATCAGGTCTGGTCTAATTCATGCATATTGTCTTGCCATTCCTTCCGATGCCCTCCAGCTAAGCCGAGCTTGTTGCAAGAGAGTCATCGGCAGAGATGGGGCCTGATATAAGGATTATGCTCGCCTGATATGGCGACTGCAAACATTTTCATGCCAAAACTCTCCCAGTCTCACACACACTCCTGCGGCCCGCCTGGCCAGGCCAGGGCGGTACGGGGACCCGCAGTTGCTACTGTACAGCGACTCTGAGTAAATTGTCCCAGCACGCTCACAGGGAACAACAATAAGCTGCCAGAGGGCACGCACAGAAAACCTCAGCTGCTCTTGTACTGGGACCGGCAGTCGATATCAATGTTATCGGTTGTTACGGGACAGGGCAGACGGCTAGAGTTGGGGTTCGTGTACAGTAGCAACTGCGGGTCCTCGTACCATTCACCAATGCATGAGGAATGGTCCGCCCCGGCCCCTGGAAGAACTCAACGCTGCCTCCCCAGCCGGGGAGATCTGTGGGGACTGGGGTACCTCCCCGGTGCTCCAGGCGGGCGACCCGCCCCCACCCGCGCCGTCCCGCGTAGGTACCGCTTGGTAATGTTGACTCGTTCCTTTGTGAATACGACAGATCCGACTGCTCTGCTGGACAGACAAGTGCCGCCATCTTAAGTGGACCGCCTGGAGTGATATTGATAACCCCAGTGGTCACTGTGACTGTGAAACGCGAGCCAACACCCGCCCTGGCTGTCCTGATGGTAAGAGATGCAGACTGAGGTGTTCACTGGTCCATAACCGCCAATAAAGACAGTCCTGTGTCTCTACATAGAAACTGATCGTAGCAAGGAAGGAGGATTCTCCACTTTATAGAGTGCAATAATATCGTAATTCTAACAACAAGTTTTATGAAAGTTTATTTCGAGTGTCATTTATTCAATTCTCTAGCAATATCAGAAGCAAAGTCCGTTCTAAAAATGCATAACAGCTAATGTATACACTTTTACCATTGGATACCAAAAGCTGTAAAATATTATGGGATTTAGCCTGATCTTCATGCATGAGAATTGAGAACACTATCGATTAACAAGCGCCATCGTGTTCATCTCGTCCACAGGACGCACTCCTTTGGATATCGACTGCCGCACAGTGGACGGGCAACACGCGGCGCTCACCAAAGACTTCCATGTGGTGTGTGATGTCAACGAAGGCATGCACTGCTTCAATAAGTTTCAACCCGGATACGTGAAAGGCTCCTGGAGGCCACTGTGTCTTGATTACAAAGTTCGCCATCTGTGTGGAAATTTGTACACGAAGCCAAATAACTCGGCCGAAATTATTTATCCCATACAGTTGCATGAGGTAAAGTTTAATCTGAGTGATATTCACTGGAAAGGGTAAACAGACGTGAGATAAAGATAAGGAGTCAAAGCTTCTGCTGGCTCAAAAAGGAAAACCTTGAATGTATTCCGTCAGCGAATTTGGTCAATACCTTTGTCCTCCTGATCCCCGGGACGATAGAAAGATGTTTCGCCTTTGCTGAAAAATAAAACATCCCCATGAGTAAAAGATGTCGTTTGACAGATTTTTGATGGATATCGGCAGTAGACGCATAGAGGAGAGGAGACAGGAAGGGGCCGAAACGTCAACCCGTCAGTCAACAAAGCACCGTAATAGCGACTCAGTGTCTTCTATTGCTGATATCAATGTTTGTGTCTAATACTTTTTTGTATCACACTTAGCATCATCAAGCTGTATTCAAGAATACCACGCGACAGCAGCTCGGAGCACATGAGATAACCAGATCATCACGGACGTGACAGTGAAAAAAAAAAACGCAGGACAAATTAACACAGACGCTATCTTTTTTGGTATGTCATACGGGTTTTCTAGCAGCTGTAGCCCGTGCAGCCTCCGTAACCACTGCGGAGACCGGACCGACCGAAACGAGCACCGCGGAACAGGCCACCGCCCAGCGCAGTACCAGAGTAACCAGCACCACCGTAACCAGCACCACCGAAACCAGCAGCCCTGCGGAAGCCAGCACCACTGAGAGCAGCGCCGCCCAGGGCAGCACCGGAGTAGCCAGCGCCGCCCAGGGCAGCACCAGAGTAGCCAGCGCCGCCGTAGCCGGCAGCTCCAGAGTAGCCAGCGCCGCCCAGGGTAGCCCCACGGAGCCCAGCGCCGCCACGAAGAGCTCCAGCCCTAAGACCGGCCTTGCCGTAGCCGGCGTTGATGGGCGTGCTCGGGTGCTGCGCCACGCCGTAGTACTGCACGTCCGCCACGAAGCCCGAGTCGCCGTCCACGACGTAGTTGACGTTCTGCCTGCGGCCGTCGGGCAGTGTGGTGCCGTAGGAGCCCTGCGTCTGGTAGCCGTAGCGGTTCTCCTGGGCGTCAATGTCCACACCTGAGTACGGGTCCTTCACCGAGTAGCCGTAGTTGTAGTTGGGCTTGGCGTAGTAGTCCTGGGAGCCGTAGCCGGCGCCCCCGGCGACGCCCTGGAAACCGGCGCCCCCGACTCCGCGGAACGGGGCGCCGCCGCCGAGGGCGTTTCCATGGTAACCGAGGCTACCAGAGGCCGAGGCCGCGGCCACAAGGGTAGTCAACACGATCAGCTTAAAAGGAAAACAAATTTTTGGTTACTGGTGAGTGGCAACGTTCTGATGGGAATGAATTAATGAAATTGGTTGGATGGAGTCTAAGAGGCGATCGTTTATGCTCATGTAGCAATCGCATCTCTAGGCCTTTTCAAGCCATACTATTCTATTGAAAACGTGAGATTCAGTCATTGAAACAAGCTTAGCTAACATGCAAAGGTAAAGCCCTTCATTGTGTTGGGATTGTCACAAATAATCATAATAGCTTAATGCTTTTCAGACTACTCTCCAGGCATTATTAGTGACACTCAAGAACAAGAGGAAGCGCTTGTAGTCCACGTCTAAGTCCGCCACGAAGAGCTACGCATTACATATAATGCGTAGTTAGCGTTCTGGGGGCGATGGTTCAGTCTTTCTTACCTTCATGTCTGCTATGGTGGTCAGCAATAAACTGATACATTCCTCCCCACAAACCTGGGTTATATACGTTTGTTCTGCGAGCAATCTCTCCCAGAGTCAATGCCACGCCCTCTCACTTTAACCGGGAGGAAAATCGGAGTTTGCTGCCGTGCGTTACCAGTAAAGTGCAAGGGCAGCCTGGTACGAAGGCTGCTATGGTGACGTGACTCGAAATTTTTCGGTTTTGTGAGAGGCGCCCGAGGCGAGGGCATTTCAGTGCGGCTGCAACGGACCTGCTCCTGAGTGACAGTGATTGGTGGAACCAGATGCGGGGGTTGCGCGTGAGATCATTGCAAAGTTTCCTCCGTTGCAGCTTGCGCTAAATGTTCGGCTTGCAGGAATGGGAATCTGACGGATGGCGGAACTAGCTACCGTTATGCCTAGGCGGCCATTGATTCCAAGCTACTCTTTGTGGAAATGATCGGATTCTCAACACCCCTCTGATAATAGCCGTTTTCACCGTTTTCACGACGGCCATCTGGTACACATTTGGCGAAGATTAGGTACAGACTACAGAGTTGGTCAAATTAGGTTCAGTGGTTTCTTAAAAGTTTTCAGTTTGGGCTCCACAGATGCTTATAGGCATCATTTTTCCAATCATCAGGCATTATCTTGGACTGAAACACTGCAATTAATTGATGATATGAAGATATTTATTGTAAAAGAGATTTGGTGCATATTTGGTCAAATTAGGTGCATTCGTCACATGGTCTGTCGTGAAAAAGGCTCATATAAGTGTAACGCAGATGCGTTACATTTTTTTCATCTTTCATGCTGAACTGCAAGCTGTGCCACAAGCTGAAACACGGCCATCTGCGAGCGCCGCACAGACACGGTCAGCCGGCTAAATCGGCTGTGATACCCTCTCTCCGTCCCAGCTGGCGTCCACACAGACGGCGCAGTAGGCTCTGACAAACAGGGGTCCTCTATAGATGACCACCCCACTTCATGAGAACCCGGATCTGAAGCCAACAAATAGCATACCGAAACGCGCCATTCTGCCAGCCTCGAGCCATTAATCAGTTTAGCCTTTGGAAAACAAGACTCTGTCCCACGCTCGGCACCCCGCCAGAGAACAAGGAGAGGGGAGTGCAGACCGGCCCTGATTTGAACCAAAACAAGAAAGGGGAGCGGAGACCGACCCGGGTTGTACGAAAACAGGATGAAATGGAACTCGGTCGCCAACGACAAAATATAGGACATCTGGCCGGACCTGACTTCAAAACAAGGGGAGCAGAGGGCCAGGCCCGCCACCTGGCGCCTCAGGCGCCGTGAGCGCCGGCGGCGAATTCCACCCGGTCGCTGCGTGAAAGGGTGCGACTGCCATGGCCGGAGGGGAACCGAACTTTGTCAGCAAATCACGAACTTTCGAGGGCGGAGCCGAGTGCAGCTTCTGAGAATGGAGGACGGAGATTGGACAAGGTGATGCTGCCCGGCCCTCTGAAGTATGACGTCATCAGAAGTATAAGTTGATGAAACGGAACTGAAAAGCTCTCTCGGACGAGGCATTCCGCGCTCTCTGGCTCTCTCTCGGACGACGGATCCCACGCCGCTCTTCGCTCTCGGCTCACATCTGACACCGTGGACAGCCCACGAGAGACCAGCGGCAGGCATCACGGCGCCGGCGGCGGCTCCGGCCGCCTGGCCGGGCGCTGGACGGTCACGACCATCATGTCAGCGACTCCATCTCAAGTAAGGTCACGCGGTGAACACGGGTGCGCACCTAGTCCCTAAATCCTCCAAGTAACCCCCCCCCCCCCTTCCGTTACTGCTATGTGAGCCACATTATATTCCCCTTTTAGGTGTCGTCCGCAATATTTTAGGCCATTCAGCTTAGGTATTTAAATTTATTCTTGGGACTTTCAGTCTAGGTAGCTTAATTTCACAATTCGATTTCGATCAATTATGTAACTGTGCGCGTAGTGCGACACGCGTGCCGACGTGGGCCCTCTTCAGTCGTCTGGCGCCCCGTTGTGATTTAAGCGGACGGAGGGGATTATGCACCGTGGGGGGTCGGGAAAGGGACGGGCGACTGTGTACCGCACCGCGCGGCTTGTGGGGCTCAGTTGATGGGCGGCCTGGGCCCAGAATGTTTCCTTTAAATTTGACTTGTAAGGGAATTTAAGGTGTTGCGTCGGAGTATGTAAATAAATGGGACTTGTAAATATTGAAATACGAGTGTGAGTAGTGCTGAAGGGGCAGGGATCGGAGGATGGAGCATAAAAGGCCATATGCTAACCCACAGTCAGGAAAGAGGTCGTTTCCAAGGTGTCCGGCCAGAGTAATTTACAACGATCAGTTCTCTTTATCTGTTGAGTTTACACAGTGCACAAAGCGATTATACACAACACATGCAGGGCCTCCCTAGCCTAGCCGATACTGGAGCTTCTCCGGTTGACTCCTAAGTGCCCTTGCCAGTGGATTTCCTGGCACTCCATCCTCCCCAAATTAACCCACGGTCCAAACAATAGCGATTACACACAACACCCACAGGACCTCCCTAGCCTAGCCGATACTGGAGCTTCTCCGGTTGACTCCTAAGTGCCCTTGCCAGTGGATTTCCTGGCACTCCATCCTCCCCAAATTATCCCACGGTCCAACAATAGCGATTATACACAACACACACAGGACCTCCCTAGCCTAGCCGATACTGGAGCTTCTCCGGTTGACTCCTAAGTGCCCTTGCCAGTGGATTTCCTGGCACTCCATCCTCCCCAAATTATCCCACGGTCCAAACAATAGCGATTACACACAACACATACAGGACCTCCCTAGCCTAACCGATACTGGAGCTTCTCCGGTTGACTCCTAAGTGCCCTTGCCAGTGGATTTCCTGGCACTCCATCCTCCCCAAATTATCCCACGGTCCAAATGATAGCGATTATACACAACACATACGGGACCTCCCTAGCCCAACCGATACTGGAGCTTCTCCGGTTGACTCCCAAGTGCCCTCGCCAGCGGATTTCCTGGCGCTCTACCCTATCCAGCGGTCCGAATATAAGGAGCACACATAGACCTTGCCGCACACGAAATATTTGTAACTTTACCCCACATGGACACTGGGGACACTGCAAGGGACGGAACCGGGGAGATAGATGATGCACGTCACGCCCCTGTGCGTGGAAAGTCCACCGACGCGGCCATGGGTTAGGAGGGAGATAAGAAGCGAGTGAAATGGAATTGAAGACTGTACACGTAGAGGAATCGGATTTCCTGAATGAAGCTCAGCTCGGATAGACCCCACTTAAATAGTAGGCCTCGCTTGGGTAAGCCCTAGATACGTGCAATAAGTCGCGAAGTGAAGAGAAAGGGTGAGAGCGAGTTGAGGATCGATTATTGAGGATGAGTGCATAGCCGACAAAGGCTAATCCGTTCGGTTGCCGGCGCGGGCCCCATAAAGCCGTGGCTATACGGAGACGATGCAGGCAGCCCGGAGGGACCTAGTGACCCCGCCCGGTTTTAAAAGATAGGTTAGGTCCGCTATCGGTCCATTGAGTGATCAGCGCAGGATGACATTCGATAAGTGACGTAGGTAGTTTCGGAGATGGTTAGGACCCCAGGCGTCCCAGCGAGGAGACGTATGCCGCCGGTTAAGTAATGTCCCGCGAAGAAACGTGTGATTCTGCAGGACGGGGGTGAACATTAAATACCAAAGCATGCGAGTCGGGTGATCGCGGTAAGTCGGTACTGGCCACCCCGCTGTCAGTCGATTTACTCCGGCCGTGCAGCGGTCATTTCGGTTAGGTCTGTGACGACAGCTTAACTACCAGCAACGGATAGATAGGGCTTCGGGCACCTATAACGCTGGTAGTCGTGGATTGTGTGAAGCCAACGGAGGCTTACCCGTTCGGTCGCCGGTGCTGTTCCAAAAGCCGTGGCTATACGGAGACGATGCAGGCAGCCCGGACGGACCTAGTTACCCAGCCCGGTTTCAAATTTTAGATAAGCCCATTGCGGGCCGTGGTACGCTTAGTTTTCGTTTTATTATAGGCAATTTGGCATAAACTGGTAGTCATGGATTCGTGTAAAGCCGACGAACGACTAACCCCTTTCGGTCGCCGGGGGCTGGCCCGAAAACCGCGGCTATACGGAGACGACGCAGGCAGCCCGGACGGACCTTAGTTACCCAGCCCCGGTCTCAAATTTCAAATAAGTCCCCCGCGGAAACCGGACTACACAGTGCCCTGCGAGCCGTAGTCTCGGAACCGCTGGCCGAAGACATTTATGTTTTTTTTGTGTAGGTAGTTCGACATGGTGATGGGACGGACCGCAATAAGTCACGTAACGCGAAGGTCGAGTGCCGAAATATGTGGTGGGTCGTATCTCTAATTGTGTAGCGTGAGCATTATGAAGCGTTTGTCTGATGTACGGAACATTGTGGTTATGAAGGGATAACGGTTAAATGACATTTAAGGCCAATGACTCGATAACGACTTTGCGCGCGCCCTAGCACCACCGGGGGAAGTTAGGAAAAAGGGGAGGGACCGGAGATGGTCAACTCTGGTAAATTACGAGGTATAAGTGGACGAATGACATGGTTGTAAGGGGATGGATAAATGGACGAATGATTGATACATATATCTGGTGGGAGATGACCCTCAAGCTAGGAAGGGCGCTGTTGTTTGAGAGTGGGACTTTTTGTTAAATAGAGTTGATTTTCTATACCAATATGATCGAGGGTAATTGATTAACATTTATCATTATCTCCCATTCCCTAACCCTGGCCTATGTGTTTCCGATGATTGATCGCCCCGGAAAGATAGACTCATGAGTCGGAACGGGTTCGCGAGGGGCTGGATACAGTGAAGGGCTTCTAGGAGCGCACCGACGGAGCTTTCTAGTCTCATCTCACTATCGAAAGACACTGCCCGGTTAGCCCCGCAACGCCGCGAAACCCCGCTACAGATTTGGCGCACCCAACGTGGGGTAGGATCAATCAAAGGAAACATGAAGTCGGTGGACCGACGTGCATTGCCGAACCCAAAGCTAAAATTTCAGAGGAAATGCGAGCGTGAGTGAGAAAACATATTATGTCTGAGCTAGATGCAGTGGGAGCTGGTCACTCAGTGCAGCGTTACTCGGGTTAAATTGATTTGATTGAAATCAGAAAGCGTGGATTGCTGGAGGGTGTATATATCATGAAGCGATAAGGGTAAATCGAGGATCAATTTTAAGTGACGGGCGAGCGGGCTTGGTATATTTTTTTTTTTTCGGCTACAGGTATCGCTAACTAAAATTATGTGGCTCA